AGAAGGAAAACTTTACTCTTGACCAACTACTGTCTCCAGTCCAGGAGGATGAAATGCAGGGCAGTGGCAGCTCACACACCAAGTATCCTGTATGAAAGGCAAGTGTGGGATCTGACCTACAGATAAACCCCATTCTTCTTCCCTTTTTTAGTTTGGTACAATCAATCTGGGCTGTTCCACTTTTTTTAAGACCCTGACAATTCAGGGCTCTGTTAAAAGGGAGGTGAGCCATGCCCACCATTGGGAGCCGGTAATTCTTGACTTCTCATAGCATCTCTGACTGTGAAGCTGTCAATTCTCCTCATTATTATTATTATCTTTTTCCAAGAGAGCCCATAGCACTTTAGGCACTTCCCAGGTGGACAGGAGTGGCCAAGCTGTTTAGTATCTCTGTGTCTTGCAAACTGGCAGTAACAGCACTTGAAGAAATATGCCAATTATTTAGTGTTACAAATCTCCTTCTTTTCATCTCAGTTTTCATGAATCAGTGCTTGTATGCTGTGTTAGGAGTGAATCCAATGCATGGGTCTGTTTATGTCTAGCTAGGCCGCAACGTAGATGATTGCTATTTAACAGTTTACGGTTCTAATGGAGAATTTCAAAGACAACACAGACCATGAGAAAATGGTTATTTGTATTAATGAGGTTTTAATATAGATCCTTTTAGTTTACTAAACTGATGAAGGATTTTTATAGTGTTGCAAAAATATCTCTACCAGAGACACGGCAGTAGTTTACTGGGGAGAATTATCAGGATCTGGGGCAGGTTTTCTATGTCTTGAGGCAGTTCCAGGTCAATGGGATCTACTGAATTCTGCACTGAGGAAAACCAGGGAATTTGGAAGGACAAAAGAAGCTTAGGTTATCTAAACTCACTGCTTTTCTAGGCGATGTACCTACATAAGGCACAAGGAAGATGATGTTCAAAATGGTCAAGGCAAGAAAATGATGCTTTCTAAACAATCTGACAATGGGCCAAGCTGGGTAGTCCAGAAGAAACAGATGGAGGTAGCTGATTTTATTTGGAATGCATCCCCATGCTGGATGCTTCTGGAAGTGATATTCTGCATCTGGAAGAGGGAGGTTTAAGGCAGAACAATAGAACCATTTTCTGACCTGTCGTAGTCAGGATTCTCTTGCTGAGAGAGAAGAAAAAAGGCTGTCACCAGTGTTCCTAAATTCTCTCTGATCCTCCCCCTCTCCAGTGAACATGCTTAATTTTTATTCTGTGGGCACCCAGCCTCACTTCCAAGCTTTGTACCAAGCAGGTGCCAGATTATAGCCATTGTGGTATCTGACAGGGAGCACAGTGGGATCAAGCTGATTATAGTCATAGGAATTTGCAAGCTGTTAAAAACACTGGAGAACATCCCTATCACAGAAAAAAGACCTGATTGATGCACTTTAATTGCTTTTGTTGTTGGAATTAGAAAGACCAACAGCAAGCAAACCTTATTATTTTTACCTTTTAGCATTTTTTTCTCTTACTATATTCTATTCCCACACACTGGATGGAGTTGCTCACAGGAGGCATGGTACTTAATAATAAGCTCATCAGTTATAAATTTATGGAGTGCACAGTCTTATTCTGAATTAGTGCAGATGCCTTGAAATTTCATACTGTCATATAACTCCTGATCATGCTTTTATGTATTCAAAGCTGCAACAGACTGGATTGCTGCAGGTGGAAATACTGAGTCTGAGTTGTCACCCCTACACTGCAAGTCTGAACTTAGTCATGACCTAAAATGACAGAACATTGTTTTCAGGGTTGTTTGGTGTCTTCTGTGAAATGAGCTGCTTTTTGCCATTTGGCTTTTTAATAGAGATGTAGCCATGCTTGAGACACTTCCGCTGCATTTTACAGACGATTTGAATATTCAAAGCACAGATAAGCACAAAGAATTAACTAGTTATAAGACCCCTTAATGATTTCTCAATGGATAGCAATAAGACTATGTTTTTTTGTCCTTGTACTTTTAAAGATGTGTATGTGAAGAGATGTTCTTAAGCTACATGCATTGTTGACAAAAGAAGTTATCAAATCTATGAGTAGGGATACCCTGCATGTATTTGTGGGCCAGTGTGCAGAGCCGTAATTCAGCTGTTCATGGAAACACTGACATCTGCTTTGTAAAGTGCTTTTGCAATAATTTTAAATTTAGCCCCTGACGTCTGATTTGATCCAGCTTGACTCAAAACCCCAGTAATTTATCCATGGAGAGCATGTAGGTGAAACTGAAGTCTAACAGTGTTCAGGGCTATATTTTCCTGCAAAACCTTTAAACTTCTATTCATATTTGGTCATCCTTTAGATACTAGGACAATGTGTTGAAAACAGCATGGCAGGTTCAGCTCTCCAAGACTTCAGCTTGTCCTGCCAGCCTAATGCCAAGAAGAGGAGCCAGAGACTCACTGGAAGCAAAGCATCAACTCATTGGAAGAGGAAACAGTAAATGTTGACCAGTTCCTGCGCAGCCTCCAGCCAACATGTTTTTAAAACCCTCACCATTAGTCCCTGAGATAGGCTCGTTTCCCAGTGCTGCTGGTGGCAACAGGGGAAGGATATCTTCTCAGCTGACTCCTACTTTGTGCAGTGGTATCAAGACCATAATGGTTGCACAAGACATAGAGGTGTGATGAGTAGGTCTTCTCTCCACAAAGATGGCTTTGGATAAGTATCAACAACTGTCCACATACAGACTGGTCCTACAGCGTGATACATGTTTTGTTAATGTGCTAATTACTGGTACTTTAAGATCATATTCAACAATCCATGTCACTCACCTCTACACCAAAACCAAGCTCCCTGATGAGTGTCCATTGCTTGGCCAAATGGCAGCAATACTCAGCCTGGGGATCTTCAGGACAAGAGGATTCTGGTTCCACATCCCTTACTTGTCTGATTGTGAACTGCATTAAGACGAATTTGCTTTATAAAGAGAAAAAGGTTCAAAGCCCAGACCAAAATACAGGGCCTTGGGACACGCAGCCTGCCTTAGTCTTTCAGCCCTTAATATTTGAAAAGCCACCAGAGGAAGGGAATGGTTTGCCTGTGCCCCTTTTCATGCTGTTACATGGCATTGTCCCTAGGGCTGCAGGGAGGCTGTAAGGTTTTGGACCAAAACTCCAGACTACATGAAAGCAGAATGATGTTGAAATGCCCATTTTGATTCTGGCAGCTAGATGTGTACACAATGGCATGTGTGTGCATCAGTGTGTGTGCACCAGTGTGTGCGTGTGCATGTGTGAGACTTGCAAAGAGATCCCAATCAAAATCTTTGATCTCGTTTCAATTGGAGTTTTTCAACCCCAATCAGCATATCAGAGCTGAAACTAAGAAATTCCTGTGTTTTGGCATCAACAAACTTTTACTTATTCAAAACCACTTACCACTGTGAAAGAATATTTTTCTTCTCTCCATGGGGCAATATCTTACAGCCTATACACCAGTTTTGACAGAATCAAGTTAACTGCTGTGATCATGAATTTATATCAATCTCCCAGGCTGAGCAAGACTGACAACCATTTTTGTTAAATGTCAGGAACGCAAACAAATATTGTGGGGTAGGGGAAAAGGTCTGGTCTGCCATGAAAGGTGGCAGCTTTACTTTTAGCTGCAAGCACTGCTGGAGCAATTAAAATGATCATAGGGGCTTGGCTCATTCATATTTGAGGACTGTCCTTTGAAAACACACTAATGCGTTTGGCAGCAGATTTTGCTCATGGGACAAGTATCTTTAAATTAAACATGCAAGAGTTCAATCTTTAAGACTGAAAATGAAGATTGAAACAGTCCGGAATGGCCTATGCTATTATATACCTTTATTAAACTCTGAGAAGCCAAAGAGGCATGCCAGCTTTTTGGTTTGCAGGGCTCATGAAGGGCTGCTGTTGCTTTTCTAAACCAC